GGCGCCCGCCCTGTGGAATGCCCTCCCATCAGACATCAAAGAGATAACCATTACCTTCTATGCTGTTACTATTTTTTTATTTTTTTTTACATAAGTAAAAAGTGACCTTTCCCCATCTGGCATGGTGGTGTGCCTCGATGTTTTTTTCATGAAACAAGTGTGCCTTTGCCCAAAAAAGGTTGGGAAACACTGCTATAGAAGCAAGCAGCGCTGGAGGTGGAACGGAAAGGAGATTGTTCGCCGCTTTGAGACTCCTTAGGGTAGTGATAAAGCGGGGTATCAAATCCGAATTCCTCCCTCCTCCCCACTGCATTTGAATTTGCAACTCTGCGCACATTTCCCCGAACACAACAGATATTACCTCTAAGTCAGTGGTTCCCAAACTTCCCCTTCTCCCTACGGACCACTTGAAAATTGCCGAGGGCTTCGGCGAAGCCTTCAGTCGTCCTTTCTGCCTCTTGTAGGAATCGCAACGCGCTGTTCTGGATGATGTACGGTTTTTAATTGTATTTTTATTGCTTTGTTTGTGTCTTACACTGTGCTTTGCGGCGCTGCAATTTAAGTTCTGCAGCGACACAGTCTTTCTTGCTGCTTCCCCTCGCTGTCTTTTGGGCTGATAATTCTCTCCTTACACGTGGACCTCTCCCTCTGAGTAAACCCATCTGGACTGCGCTGCTAATGTTCTGCTTTTGCAGGGAGGGGCAGACCCAACAGAGGATCCGTCCTTCCAGTCCAAAATGATAGAGGAGTCCGACAGACAGCAGTTATCAGATTACATATCCCCCTCTCCACACTTTTCCGTCTATCTTGAAGGTGTATAATGTGTGTGTCGCATTTGTAAATATGGTGTAAATGAGTGAATAAATGAGATGCTGTGTAAATATTGCCGCCCAGGTAGTTCGTGTGCAACAGGGTGTTTTTTTTTTTTTTTTGGAGAGGGGGTTGCTGAGGCTGCTTGGGGTGGTGATGTCACCGGGGGAAGTCCGTGGTGATGTCATGGTGGTAGCACTTGGAGACGGAGGTTAATTGGGAGACCGGAATGAAGGGGGTCTGAACACCTCGGACAGTTCATGGGTAGGCAACCTAAGGCCCTGGGGCTGGATCCGGCCCAATCGCTTTCTATATCCGGCCCGCGGACGGTCCGGGAATCAGTGTGTTTTTACATGAGTAGAATGTTCACTTTTATTTAAAATGCATCTCTGGGTTATTTGTGGGGCCTGCCTGGTGTTTTCACATGAGTAGAATATGTGCTTTTAAAATGCATCTCTGGGTTATTTGTAGGGCATAGGAATTCATTCATCCCCCCCAAATATAGTCCGGCCCCCCACATGGTCTGAGGGACGGTGGACTGGCCCACGGCTGAAATAGGTTGCTGACCCCTGGGCTATTATTTCGCTTTGAGCACCTGCGTTTATTTGATGTATGAGAAATCCAACTTAGAAACACTGATATGGAGTTGTTTTTTTGGAGGGGTGTTTTAGCAATGTTTTTTGGGGGGGCAGCGCCACGCATGCATGCACCAAGTCAGTGTGGACATGTTTAAAACCTGAGTTCTTAGCAGGCCACAAGCTTGATGCGAGTCCACAGTGTGATGCAGTAGCAAAAAAGGCTACTGTAATTCTTGACTGCATCAACGACAGTCTCGTGTCCAGACCAAGGGAAGTTATGGTACTGCTCTGTTCTGCCTTGGCCGGACCACACCTGTATACAGTGGTACCTTGGTTCTCAAACTTAATCCGTTCCGGGAGTCTGTTCCAAAACCAAAGCGTTCCAAAACCAAGGCGCGCTTTCCCATAGAAAGTCATGCAAATCGGATTAATCCATTCCAGACTTTTAAAAACAACCCCTTAAACAGCAATTTAACATGAAGTTTACTCCCTAACATGACGGGACGCGGGTGGTATTGTGGGTTAAACCACAGAGCCTAGGACTTGCCGATGAAAAGGTCGGCGGTTTGAATCCCCGTTGCTCGGTCCCTGCTCCTGCCCACCTAGCAGTTCGAAAGCACGTCAAAAGTGCAAGTAGATAAAGAGGTACTGCTCTGGCGGGAAGGTAAACGGAGTTTCCGTGCGCTGCTCTGGTTTGCCAGAAGCGGTTTAGTCCTGCTGGCCACATGACCCGGAAGCTGTACGCCGGCTCCCTCGGCCAGTAAAACAAGATGAGCGCCGCAACCCCAGAGTCATCCACGACTGGACCTAATGGTCAGGGGTCCCTTTACCTTACTCTCTAACGAGACCATCGATCCATCAGATGAAAGCAATAAACAATGTACTGCAGTCACACAAACAGTAGCTGAACTGGGTTCCACACAGCCACAAAATCGCAAAATAAATAACAAAAACAGGCAGACATCAGCGTAACACTCAAAACGGAAGCGCAGCACTCAATACGGAGCACGTTCAGCTTCTGAAAAAAGTTCGCAAACCGGAACATTTACTTCCGGTTTTGCAGCGTTGGGGTTCCAAGTTGTTTGAGTACCAAGGCTTTTGAGAACCAAGGGACCACTGTACTGTGTCCAGTTCTGGGTACCAGAGTTTAAGGAGGATGTTTACAAGCTGGAATGTGTGCAGAGGACAACCAAGATGATCAAGGGTCTGGGAACCAAGCCTGATGAGGAACGGTCGAAGGAGTTGGGGATGTTTAGACTGGAGAAGAGAATGAGAAGGGAGATGCTAGCAGTCTTCAAATATCTGAAGGGCTGTCACCTGGAAGGTGGAGCAAGCTTCTTTTCTCTTACTCCAGAGTAGGACTTGAACCAATGGACTCCAGTTACGAGAAAGGAGATTGCGACTCTAAGATTCTATGATGCTATGTTCTTAATATAATGCAGCACAGTTAAATTGATGCATCAATTTTTCCATCAACACTTCCAGTGCTTCTTCTAATAGACTTCCAAAGCATTAGCAAAACATCACAGAAGCTGCAGAGTTGAGCTTTTGGGAGGTGGTACTCCCAGAAGCTTGCCAACAAAGGTCCGTATAGTTAAAGCCATGGTTTTCCCAGTAGTGATGTATGGAAGTGAGAGCTGGACCATAAAGAAGGCTGATCACCGAAGAATTGACGCTTTTGAATTCTGGTGCTGGATGAGACTCTTGAGAGTCCCATGGACTGCAAGAAGATCCAACCTCTCCATTCTGAAGGAAATCAGCCCTGAGTGCTCACTGGAAGGACAGATCCTGAAGCCGAGGCTCCAAGACTTTGGCCACCTCAGGAGAAGAGAAGACTCCCTGGGAAAGACCCTGATGTTGGGAAAGATGGAGGGCACAAGGAGAAGGGGACGACAGAGGACGAGATGGTTGGATAGTGTTCTCGAAGGGACCAGCATGAGTCTGACCAAACTAAAGAGGTACCGCTCCAGTGGGAAGGTAAACGGCGTTTCCGTGCGCTGCTCTGGTTCGCCAGAAGCGGCTTAGTCCTGCTGGCCACATGACCCGGAAGCTGGACGCGGGCTTAAATTGATACATCAATTTTTCCATCAACACTTCCAATGCTTCTTTTAATAGACTTCCAAAGCAATAACAAAACATCACAGAAGCTGCAGAGTTGAGCTTTTGGGAGGTGGTACTCCCAGAAGCACACTGCAATCTCTTTGCGTTTCTTCCCCAACCACGACGACTACGTTCTTCTCCTCATCCATATGGTCAGTGCCGATTTCCCAAGTCCCAGCCTGACGCTCTAACCACTACACCCCACTGCCTTCCTAGAGTCCTTCTGCTCTGGGGCAGCTCTATAAAATTAAGTAAGTAAATCAATATGGGGAAACCAAAATGTCCCTTACGAGAAGGCTCTGAATATTTTCCCCGAAACTTGAATTTGTTTTATTCTGCACAGTTTCATTCGATGTAAACCGCTTAGATATTCTTTCTTTAAAATATAAAGCAGTGTGGAATTGAAGTAATGATAACAAATTCCGCTGTGGGAGGGGGAAAAAGATTCGTAGACCTTCCATTGTGGTGACCCGCAAACCAAGTTTAAGACAATTAGCTTTTATAGCTGTGTTTCGAACACAGCTCTGGGGGAGACAAAATTGCAGGGGGTTGGACTGGATGATGATAACAATAACAATAACAATTTATTTATACCCTGCCCATCAGGCTGAGTTTCCCCAGTCACTCTGGGCGGCTCCCAATCAAGTGTTAAAAAAATATACAGCATTAAATATTAAAAACTTCCCTAAACAGGGCTGCCTTCAGGTGTCTTTTAAAGAGAAGATAGCTGCTTATTTCCTTCACATCTGAAGGGAGGGCGTTCCACAGGACGGGCGCCACCACCGAGAAGGCCCTCTGCCTGGTTCCCTGCAACCCCACTTCTTGCAATGAGGGAACTGCCAGAAGGCCCTCGGAGCTGGACCTCAGTGTCTGGGATGAACGATGGGGGTGGAGACGCTCCTTCAGGTCTCCTGGGCCTTTGAGGCCGTTTAGGGCTTTCAAGGTCAGCACCAACACTTTGAATTGTGCTCAGAAACATACTGGGACCGAATGGAAGTACCTTCAAAGGTAGCCCCACGTAGAGCGCATGGCGGTAGTCTAAGTGGGAGATAACCAGAGCATGCACCACTCTGGCGAGACAGTCTGCGGGCAGGGAGGGTCTCATCCTGCGTACCAGATGGAGCTGGGAGACAGTTGCCCTGGACACAGAACTGACCTGCGCCTCCATGGACAGCGGTAAGTCCAGAATGACTCCCAGGCTGCGCCCCTGGTCCTTCAGGGGCACAGTTGCCCCATTCAGGACCAGGGAGTCCTCCACACCTGCCCGCCTCCCGTACTTCTGTCTTGTCAGGAGTCAACCTCAATCTTTTAGCCACCATCCATCCTCCAACCCCCTCCAGACACTCACACAGGACCTTCACTGGTTTTGATTTGAAAGAGAGGTAGAGCTGGGTATCATCCGCATACTGGATTACCCTTGGGATCTCTTTCCAAATCTACAATTCCAAGAACTCTGCTGGGAGAAGAGTGGTCGAGGCGACGGGAGAAAAGTTACAAGGCGACACAAAGGACTGCAGAACAACTACATACATTTATTCTTTGGTTTGCTGCGGAGGAACAGAAGGTGTGGTCAAGGAAACAAGGCACTCGCCTCTCTTGCAGCTCCCCCCCCCCCGGAGGAACCGCTCCTTCTACAATCCTGTTCACCTGTCCGGCTAAACACCAGCTCCGAAGACGACAACCATGGCCAGGTCGATGAGATGCGAGCCAAGTTGTCCAGCCGTTTCCTTTGGCCAACAGTCAATTGTCCTGCTGCTCGCCTCGACCGCTCCGAAGTTTTAACAGCTTGGCGGTGGCTGGATTTCGTCACGTGCAACCCCCCAACATCGTGCAAATCGCCTCCCGCTCCTCCGCAGCTTCCGTCCTCATGAGCCGCCGCTGTCAACTCAAAACTCGAAAGGCTTCGACTTTTACCCTCTTTGTTTTCTTTTGGCGCAGTGGGGTGTGTGTGAGGAGGGTCTAAAATACCCCCATCCGTTTCCTCTCTCTATTCCCCCTCCTGTGCCCCAAACCCACCGCAAGACACCAGAGGTGTAAACATTTAAATATACATATATATATAAAACACAAAGAACGTTAAGTGATATTATGCAAGCGTTGGGTTTCCTCGGCGTACGGGGAGGTGCTGCTGCAAACCCGACGTTAGAGGGGGACAACAAGAACCCCCCTATCCCTTTTTTATTTTTTAAAAAAGGATAGAGGAGCGTTTCCAGGTTTAGTGGTTAAGGCAATGTGGCGTGGATGACCAGTGTGCAGATCTGTGAAGTGGTTTGATATCTCGGTTTGGAGACCAGAGGCTTTGGCAGAAGCCCAGAAGAGATTAAATGGGGCTGAGGGCCTAGTTCTGACAGTGAACCCCCCCAGAAGAAAAAAATGTAAAAGGGAGGTTTGGGCAGGAGCTGAACGATCCAACATCCACGCTCTCTTGCGCTTTCTCTCACGGCACAACAACAAAGCCTGCTTTCTTAAAGTCATTTTCTCCACATTATACCTTCTTTCTTTCTTTCTTTCTTTCTTTCTTTCTTTCTTTCTTTCTTTCTTTCTCTCTCACACTCACACTCACACAAACACTCAGGCTCTGTCCCACTCATTCTGTCAGAGCACACTGCGCCACCGCGCAATGGGTATTTTGAGGCGCCCACAACAATATTTCAAATTTTCCAAATTGGTCCTTGGGTCCAAAGAACCCTGGGGACTCCTGTCCTAAACCAACAAAGGCTAGTTTCAAAACGCTGAGCGAAAATGACCAGAAATGGAGCAGAATACGGGACTGCAGCCCTCGCTCACCTTGCGCATCATGCGTCTCAGAAATGGGACGCATAACTCGCGCAGCAGCAGCAACTGTGGTACTCCCTCCTGCAGGGACGGCCGCCAACCCAGACAACTCTAAAAGAGGATTGACACCCTCACGGAGGCGGCGAAGGCTATCTGGTCACAACGCCTATGCCTCCGCGGTCGGAGGCAGCCATGCGCCCGAATACCAGTTGCTGGAATCCACAGGCGGGGAAAGGGCTTGTGTTCGAATCCTGATGGTGGTTCCCCATAATGGGCATCTGGTTGGCCCCTGTGAGAATGGGGTGCTGATCCAGATGGATCCTGACCCAGCGGGCTCTTAACTTTTTATTGAATGTTTACGGCCTGGCTACAGCTCACCATTGCGATGCCTGGAATCTCCCACGCCCAAAATCACCTCTTTTTTCATTATTGAAAAAGGCCGGCTAATGCTTTTTCGCACATACAAGCTTCGTTGCTGGTTTCTGTGTTTTCAGAAAGGAACATCCCATTTCTCTTCCTGTCCCTGCGCTCTCCTCCCTATTGTCTCAGCCGGGAGCTTGAAACCTGACCCTGCAGCCTCTGTAAGCAACCTTAATTAAATCCAGCTCTCTGCCGTTGCAGAAACGAGACGCTGGCCTGATGGAAGAGACCTGAGAGGCTCCAAGCCTCGCTCCCCACATTTTAAGGCTCGGTGTGCCGAAAACGGCAGAAAAACGTGTGCGCAGCAACAGCCGTAGCAATAGCCACCTCTTCGCGTTCCAAGGATGGACTACTCCGTCGGAGGCCCATTCACTTTTGGCACTTCAAAGAACAGGGATAAAAACCACAGCCTGCCAGAAGGCTTTGGTCCCAATCCAGACCCTGCCGAAAAAAACGTCGATTCAGCCCCCCACACGGCCTTCGCAAGACACCCAAACCTTTTGCCACAGATCATAAGCACCTAAAAGCCTCTTGCTGGGTCAGGCCAAAGGTCTGTCTAGCCAGAATCCTGGTCTCACCACAGCCAACCAGACGCCCACCATGAGAAGCCCCAAAGCAGGATCAGACCGCAAAGGCCGCTCTCCCCTCGTGCGGCTTCAGAAACAGGTATGTAGAAGCGCTACTGTGTGAATTTGCCTAATATTTTTTAAAGTGATCTAGGTTAGCGGCCATCGCCGCTTCCTGTGGCAATGAGTTCCACAGGTTAACGGCGCGCAACGTGAAGGAGGACTTGGGGTTGGTTTGGATGACCCTTGGGTGCCCCTTTAAACCGTACAAGTCTATGAACTCTGTGAGTAACAACCATCAGTGTGGGGTTGGGGGCCTCAGGCAGAAAGCAATACCGTGGGCTGCCCAAATCTTCCTCAAGCTGTTATGGAAACAAGTCACGACAGAGAAGGAACCTAGTACATTTTAATTTTTTTCTTGTTTTTCCTTCCGTGTGGATTCGAACAAGGCGAGGGGCCGCGTGCCTAACTCAGCGATGCTATTCCGTCGCTCTTCCTTTCACAAACACGCAAACACACACACACACACAACCCGCTCCCCCGCTGTCATGTCAGAACTGGGAAAAGGGTCCATTGAGAAAAGAGGAAATCCCGGTTTTGAGAAGGTTCTAGCTTGTGATCACCGAACTCCTCTGTCCAACTTCCCCCGTCTTTTCAAAAAACATGAAATCCTGCAGAGAGAGGAGAGGGAAAACCAACGGTAAAGTAACATAACTTATTTATTCATCTACAAATTCGTTTTAATGTTTTAATGTTTCAATATTTCAATGTTGTATTTTAATTTTGTTTTTAAGTTGCAATCATTCAACTTGTTTTTATTATTGCTTGTTAGCCGCCCTGAGCCCGGCCTTGGCTGGGGAGGGCGGGGTATAAATAAATAAATAAATGAATAAATAATAATAATTGCAATGGTGCGATTTATTGTTGGTGGGTTTTATGTTCTGCAGACAGACACACACTCAACCCAGGTATCCGGATAGATCAGCTCCCCGCCAGATGTTTCGGACCACTGTATTTTTCGAACCTGACCATAAGACGCACCTAGTTTTTAGAGGAGGAAAACAAGGGAAAAAATATTCTTTAAAGGGAGAGCTGAGCAGAGCCTGTATGCATCCCAGGCTCCGCTCAGCGCTCCCTTTTACGAGCCGCGTGGAGCGTGTGTGCAGCGCGTGCAGGCTTTTCCCCGAGGAAGGAGAAGGGCAGCCCGTCTTTAAAGGGGGCTTTTCCGGGAGGTGGGGGAAGGGACAGAGGGGCTAAGCCAGAAGCTAGAACAGCAAGAGGGAGTGCTGCGCAGCGATCCCTCTTGCTGTTCTGGCTTCTGGGACAGCCGCGCAGCCTGCATTCGCTCCATAAGATGCACACACATTTCCCCTTACTTTTTAGGAGGGAAAAAGTGCGTCTTATAGAGCAGTGTTTCCCAACCGGTGTTCCGCGGCACACTAGTGTGCCGCGAGACGTTGCCTGGTGTGCCACGAGATGTTGCCTGGAGGGAGGCGGGCGAGTCGGGCGGCGAGAGGCGGGGCGGCGGCGGCGAGGAGAGGCCGCCCAGCGCGGGGCTCTCGCCGTCTGCCTGCCTGGCTGCCTGCGTGGCGCTGACGTCATGGGGCTGTAACGTGCCCCACATAGGCACACGTGGGGCGGCGAGCGAGCGAGCTCCCACATCCCATCGCCGCTCGCTTCGGCCGGCCTACTGGGCTGTCGCAGGCGGAAGGCCTGCGCATGCGCGAGGTTTTTGCGCCTTCGGGATTCCCTTCACGCCTTCCTCCTCCCGGGTCCTTGAGAGCGCGGGAAGCGGCAGCGCGAGACCGGCGTTGAGCCTGGTAGGTATTGCGCTTGCCAAGGCAGTCATTTGGGAAATGAAAACTTGCAAAGCAAGCAACCAGTTCAATCTGAAGTACGTGTATGCTTAATATCCTGTATCTTAAACCTGTTCTGCCCCCTCCCCCACACTTGGTGCCATTTTCATCTACACATGCAGCAGAGTAAGTTGACCCAGAATAGTACCAATTCAGATGGCAGATGGGAGAATGACAGTGCTGAATGCTTTCCCGTGTAGAACAGTCCCTGCAAATAAAAACCTAGCATATTTGGAAGAGGGATGCTAGCCTAACCATTACCTTCTATGCTGTTACTATTTTTTTATTTTTTTTTACATAAGTAAAAAGTGACCTTTCCCCATCTGGCATGGTGGTGTGCCTCGAGATTTTTTTCATGAAACAAGTGTGCCTTTGCCCAAAAAAGGTTGGGAAACACTGTTATAGAGCAAAAAATACGGTTCATTGGCACCCCCAGATGCTATGGCCGAGTTGTGATCCAAAGCAGCTGGAAGGAGTGGCTGGGGAAGCCCAGCCAGATGGGCGAGGTATAAATAATAAATTATTATTATTATTATTATTATTATTATTATTATTATTATTAGGCAGCTGATTGGTGAAGAGAGCAAGCGCCACGATAGTAAGACGACAAGATGCATTTCTGAGAGAAGTTTGTACTGGATCACACCTGTTCCTGTTCTATATGCTGCTGTTTAAATTTTATTCGTCTTATTGATATATTATTGATCTCTCTCTCTCTCTTTTGCTTTTTATGGTTTTATCGTACGGGTTCATGTTTTTATTGCAGCAAACCACTTTGATTTTATACACAAACACACACAGAGTTGTAGCTTCGTTGTCAAATGCCTTGGTACTGGTATGTTTCGGCTCCTGAACAACTGAAACCCGGAAGTGAGTGTTCTGGTTTTCAACCTATTTTTTTGGAAACCGAACGTCCGACAGGGCTTCCACGGCTTCCGATTGGCTGCAGGAGTTTCCTGCAGCCAATCAGAAGCCGCACTTTGGTTTCCGAACATTTTGGAATTCAAACGGACTTCTGGAGCGGATTCCGTTCGACTTCCGAAGTACAACTATACAGTGGTACCTGGGTTTTCGAACGTAATCCGTTCCGGAAGACTGTTCAACTTCTGAAACGTTTGAAAACCGAGGCGCAAAGGGTGGTCTGCAAATTCAATAGAGAAAATTGAAAAAACCTCAGCGGGAGCTGTTTGACTTCCGAGGCGCATCCGAAAACAGAAGCATTTGCTTTCGGGTTTTTGGTGTTCGAAAACCGAAGCGTTCAACAACCTATATATATATATATATATAGGCGAAAGATTTATACGATCTGAAGAGAAACCAGAGTATATATATAATGATATAGTGGTCTATACATAATAATATCAACAACAGCAACAAGGCAGTATAAAAGCGATATAAATTAAATGCAAAAACTAGGAATGATTTCCGAGGGAAGGTGGCAAGTTACTAGACCTCAAGCAACCTCCAAGTCAAACCCGTCCTCTGCACTTACATTTCCTGGTGAAACATCCCATCCTTCTAATTTAAAAGTTATGACATGTTCCCTGAGATGGAAGGATCTTTGTTTTGGAGGGGGTATTTTTGGAGAAAGTTTTGTTGGGAGTTTTTCCTGTTGTTTCTGATATTAACTGATATTACTGATATTTACCTTTGTATCTTTGTTTTTATGCGGAAATTGTCCACTTTTGTTATGTCGTTTTTAATGTTTTTTTTTATAACTAAAGGTAAAGGTAAAGGGACCCCTGACCGTTAGGTCCAGTCGCGAATTACTCTGGGGTTGCGGCACTCATCTCACTTTATTGGCAAAGGGAGCCGGCGTACAGCTTCCGGGTCATGTGGCCAGCAGGACTAAGCCGCTTCTGGTGAACCAGAGCAGCGGACGGAAACGCCATTTACCTTCCTGCCGGAGCGGTACCTATTTATCTACTTGCACTTTGACGCAGTTTCAAATTGCTCGGTTGGCAGGAGCAGGGACTAAGCAACAGGAGCTCACCCCGTCGCCGGGATTTGATCGGCAAGCCCTAGGCTCTGTAGTTTAACCCACAGCGCCACCCACTTCCCTTGCAAATAGCTTTAGATACCTATTAAAAAGGTAAAGGACCCCTGACAGTTAAGTCCAGTCGCAGACGACTCTGGGGTTGCGGCACTCATCTGGCTTTACTGGCCGAGGGAGCCGGCGTTTGTCCACAGTTTTTCCGGGTCATGTGGCCAGCATGACTAAGCCACTTCTGGCAAAGCAGAGCAGCGCACGGAAATGCTGTTTACCTTCCCGCCGGAGCGGTACCTATTTATCTACTTGCACTTTGAAGTGCTTTTGAACTGCTAGGTTGGCAGGAGCAGGGACCGAGCAACGGGAGCTCACCCCGTTACAGGGATTCAAACCGCCGACCTTCTGATCGGCAAGTCCTAAGCTCTGTGGTTTAACCCACAGCGCCACCCGCATCCCTTTTTTAAAAAATGACTGCTTTGTTATATTTGTAATTATGTAAGCCACCTTTTCGTGTTGTAAGCCGCCTTGAGCATTCTTTTAACTGCGGAAAGGCGGCGTGCAAATAAAATTATGAGGATGATGAACTCACAATGAGGAAACACGCTCCCAAAAGCACCGCCTTGATCTTGACATCGAGGTCCATGGGAAACTGGATCCCAAAGTTGTCTGTGTCGGTGAAGACCTCCTTGAGGAGTCCGCTCCACTGCTTGCTGATCCTCCCGACACCTCGCGATTCGTCGCGGGTCTTCACCTGCAGGAAGGTACAGAGAGGTGCGGTCAGCAACGCAAGCCGTGACATCAGAGGCTCACCGCCCCAACACAGGAAGTGACCTCATAAGCCACCCCGCCGTCCATTCGAAGGAAGTGACCTCACACACCAGCTTCGGAAGCCACTTCCTGTTCCACCCAGGACAGGAACCGATGACGCCAGCTTTGCTTTGGATCAGGGTGGATAAGAATCAACGATTTTTTAAAAAAATAAATTTTGAAAAATCCGATTTTTTTATTTAAATTGGATTTTTTTAAAAAAATTAAAAATTTAAATCAGATTTTTAAAATAAAATGCTTTTGGAGGAAAAATCTTTCTAAAGATAGTTTTCTGTTTAAGTTACATTATAGTCCAAAGGCTATTCATGAGGAAATAAGGATTTGTTTTAAGATTTTCATGTGTGCTAAAACTCAGTCTAAGTGTGTGTGTGTGTGTGTGTGTGTGTGTGTGTATATCTCATCAGTTAACAAGCATGGATACAAATGCTATAATGTCATTGCTTTAGTTAAATAAATTGTTTAAATTGTTATCAAGGAAATGATTATTTTTCTCCTTCCAACTAAGTACAGCAGAAAAGTTGTCCAAATATAAAGTTAACTCATTAAACCTTGCAATAATTATCTGTCTATGTACAGTGGTACCTCGGGTTAAGAACTTAATCCGTTTCAGAGGTCCGTTCTTAACCTGAAGAAACACTTTAGCTAATGGGGCCTCCCGCTGCCGCCGGAGCACGATTTCTGTTCTCATCCTGAAGCAAAGTTCTTAACCCGAGGTAATATTTCTGGGTTAGCAGAGTCTGTAACCTGAAGCGTCCGTAACCCGAGGTACCACTGTAAATCTAAATCAAATAAGGTTTGGAAATGTGAAGAGAAAGACGGTTCCTTTTATCATGTGTGGTGGTCCTGCGGTAAGGTTAAGGCTTACTGGGAAATGATATACAACAAAATGAAAAAGATTTTTCAAAATAACGTTTGGAAAGAAAACAACCAGAAGCTTTTCTTTTGGGAATTATAGGGACAGAACTACCTACCTACACACACACATCCCGAGATTTACATTGTAGGCAAAGGGCACTTTGCACATGCTCAGAAGCCGTGCGTCCTCTGGAGAAGAAAGACGTGGTGGGGCGAGCAAGAAGATTTGGCCTGTACATTAGAATAGTGCATAGCTGCCAACTTTCCCCTTTTTTTAAGGGAAATTCCCTTATTCCGAATAGGATTCCTCGCAAGAAAAGGGGAAAGTTGACAGCTATGGAATAGTGAGCATCCTTATGAACGATTGCCCAAAATTTAAGTACAGCTCGAAAAGCCATTTGTTCTTGAGTGGACCGTGAGGTGTGATGTACAGTGGTACATCGGGTTACATACACTTCAGGTTACAGACTCCACTAACCCAGAAATAGTGTTTCAGGTTAAGAACTTTGCTTCAGGATGAGAACAGAAATCGGGCTCCGGCGGCACAGCAGCAGCAGCAGGAGGCCCCATTAGCTAAAGTGGTGCTTCAGGTTAAGAACAGTTTCAGGTTAAGAACGGACCTCTGGAACGAATTAAGTACTTAACCCGAGGTACCACTGTATACATTTTGGCCAGTTTGTGCGAAGCTTCGCCACTTCTTCAGCCTCTGTGGCTAACCGTCATGGCCGCACCAAAGGCAACCAATATGGTGGCCTTGCGGGATGTCACTCGCTGTCATGGCTGCCACCTCACAGCTGATTTAGCGGTTGGGCCCTTCAAAGGGCCCTTCGCCAACAATGTAAATCTCGGGATGTGTGCGTGTGTGTGTAGAAATTTCCCAAACTGCCTCCCGCTCCCGTGAGCACCTCAAAGTTGACGTCTCCGCCGCAGCTGCAAGCAAAGCAAGGCCCCAGAACGCGAAGCACCGTCTCCTTCTCGACGTTCTGGATGGAGAACTTGGGGTTGAAGGGGTGCCACGTCTGCACCACGTACCCGATGGTGGTGCCCGGCGGGCACTGAACTTCCAGCTGCGGGGAGAAGAGAACAGTTTTGCGTGTTAAATTGCTGTTTTAGGGGTTGTTTATAAAAGTCTGGAACGGATCAATCCGTTTTGCATTACAGTCATACGCTTCGAGTTGAGCGCGTTCGAGTTGCGCTCCGCGGCAACCCGGAAGTAACGGAGCGCATTACTTCCGGGTTTCGCCGCTTGCGCATGCGCAGGCACTCAAAATGACGTCGCGCGCATGCGCAGAAGCGGCAAAAAGCGACGTGTGAGTGCGCAGACGTGCCGTCGCTAATTACGTTTGCTTCTAGATGCAAACAGGGCTCCGGAACGGATCCCGTTCGCATCCCGAGGTACCACTGTACAGTGGTGCCTCGCAAGACGAAATTAATTCGTTCTGCGAGTTTTGTCGTCTTGCGATTTTTTTCGTCTTGCGAAGCACGGTGTCGGGAAAGTTTTGGAAAAGCTTCAAAAATCACCAAAGTCTTTTAAAACCTCAAAAAAGGCTACCACACCGCGTGCTATGAGTTGCTCCTCGAAGTCAAGTCGCAACTGTATTAACGGTGTTAAGAAAAATGAAACAAACTTGCAAGATGTTTCCGTCTTGCGAAGCAAGCCCATAGGGCAAATCGTCTTGCGAAGCAGCTCAAAAAACAAAAAACCCTTTCGTCTAGCGAGTTTTCCGTCTTGCGAGGTACCACTGTACTTTCTATGGGTAACTGAGTGCCTTGGTTTTGGAATGCTTTGGTTTCGGAACGGACTCCCGGAACAGACTACTGTATTTTTCGCTCCATAAGACGAACTTTTTCCCTCCTAAAAAGTAAGGGGAAAGGTGTGTGCATCTTATGGAGCGAATGCAGGGGGGAGGCAGGCGGGGAAAGCCCCCAAGAGCCGCACACATGCTCCGCGCGGCTCTTGCGGACTTTTCCCCGAGGACGGAGAAGGCACTGACGAGGCAGGCAGTCCCTTCTCCCTCCTCGTAGAAAAGCCCACAGGAGCCGCGCATCCTTTAAAGAGCGTGCAGTTCTTGGGGGCTTTCCCCCAGGCCGCCCTTCTCCCTCACATGCTCCACGCGGCTTGTGAAAGGGAGCGCGGAGCGGAGCCTGGGATGCATACAGGCTCTGCTCAGCGCTCCCTTAAAAATATATATTTTTCTTGCATTCCCCTTCTAAAAACTAGGTGCGTCTTATGGTCAGGTGCATCTTATGGAGCGAAGAATATGGTGCGTTTGAGAACCAAGGTACCACTGTACTCGCCTTCTCCCCAAACCAAAAAGTCCCAAACACGGCAAACTCGTAAGCGAGTCCCTCCCTCCTTTTGACCATTTTGCCCTTTTCGGAACCCTTCCCAACTCTTTTAACAACATCCTCTTAATTCTAAATTATATTCCAGAAACTTGGAAGAACTCAAGGGGCCAAAAATAGTGGTTGTATCGCGCTATATTAGAAGCAAAACCAAACTTGTTTTGATGGATTGGAAGAGTCGCAAAAAGATTCCACTGAGCATATGGGTGGATAACATGGACAGATTAGCTACGTACAAAAGAATTCCTTGTCGGCGCAAAATAAGAATGGAGAAATACGAAGAAATTTGGAACAAATATCTAAGTGACAAGGCGGATAACAGTGCGAAATAGAGGAGGGAGAGAGTGGTGATACTCAGGCATAGGGATATTAAAGGTAAAGGTAAAGGGACCCCTGACCATTAGGTCCAGTCATGGCAGACTCTGGGATTGCGGCGCTCATCTCGCTTTATTGCTGAGGGAGCCGGCGTGCAGCTTCCGGGTCATTTGGCCAGCATGACTAAGCCACTTCTGGCGAACGAGAGCGGTGCACGGAAACGCCGTTTACCTTCCCGCCGGAGTGGTACCTATTTATCTACTTGCACTTTGATGTGCTTTCGAACTGCTAGGTTGGCAGGAGCAGGGACTGAGCAACGGGAGCTCACCCCGTCATTGCGGGGATTCGAACCGCCAACCTTCTGATCGGCAAGTCCTAGGCTCTGTGGTTTAACCCACAGCGCCACCCGGGTCCCATAGGGATATTACTGTATCTTTAAAAAAATTAAACAAAAAACAAAAAACAAAACAGTGGATGCTCGGGTTGCGAACGTGATCCGTACAGGATGCACGTTCGCAACCTGCAGCGGCACATCTGCGCACACGCGGGTTGCGATTCGGCGCTTCTGCGCATGCACGACTGCCGAAACCCGGAAGTGACCCATTCTGGTACTTCTGGGTTTCGGTGGTCCGTAACCCGAAAAAATGCAACCTGAAGCGTCTGTAACCCGAGGTATGACTGTATCCTCTTTGAGGCTTGGCGACCAGAACCGCACACGGCATGGACCGGGCAGGCGCACTGCTCACCTCCTGAAGGCAACAAGGGAACCAGCAGCTGACGCATTTCAGGGGGCGCACCATGCGCAGGACCTCCCGTCCCGCCGGGTCGTCCAGCCGCATGGAAAAGCGCCGCAGGGATCCGCAACAGTTCCGCGTGCAGCAGTCGTTCTGTTCCTGGGCGTGGAAGATGTGCTGGCCCAGGCTGTTGCGCACTTCGTACTTGTTGTTGCCTTCAAAACCTATGAACGCTGGGGGAGGGAAAGATAGGGAAGAAATGGTGTCACTTACGGTGATGCGACAGGCCGGGCGGACTCATGCGCCACCATCGACGGCCTTCCACGGCAACCTCTTTTCTTTTTTATTTATATATGCTTTTCAGATCTACACATTTCACTGATTTTGCAATCATTTCGACACTTTAAAAACCTGACTTCCTTCCCTCTCTTTCTGCAGTTCCAAAGTGGTTTCCAGATAAGAAGATAATCAATAAGAAAAATTAATGGAAATAATTTGAGACTTTTGGAAAGCTGAAACAGCAACAGCCTAAGATTAAAATTCACACCAGCATTTCTAAGCAACTGGGTAGGTTTTGTTTAATCAAGAACATTTTTAGCAGGTGCAGAAAAGAGCACGGAGAAGGCGCCTTTCTGATATCAAGTGGCAAGGAGTTCCAAGGCTCATTAATGAGCTTTGTGGCCAAGTGGGGACATCTGAATTAAAACATCTGAATTATACCGCCACAGCACCCAAATCTCAAACTAGAGGGCAGGCCCTCTGTGCGTAAGCTTTAACAACAAAACTTTGGTCCAGATTTAGGAAACCACTTCCTGGTGGACTCTGAACGCCAACATCTCTGCCATTTGTCTCTCACCTTCCACGAGCTCCACTTTCTGGTGTATCAAAATTTGGTCAACCTGAGGAGACAGAGGCCACAAAAATCAGTGAAAAATAAAAATTGTGTGTCTCCCCCCACCTCAAAAAAGGGGGGGGAAAGAGAAATAATCCACAACATAGACCTAGGCCACATGTATTTAAAGCACTGTGATGCCAGTTTGAACCATCACGGCTTCCCCCAAAATATAGTCTGGGAATTATAGTTTGTTGAGGCACCCCCATTCCCCTCAGAGAGCTAGAATTCCCAGAGTTCCCTGGGAAGAAAAATGGAAGACGGTATCACTCTGGGAACTGTAGCTGTTCGAAGGGGAACAGGGAGGTCTCCTACCAACACCCCAATGAAACTATAGCTCCCAGAATATTACGGGGGAAGCCGTGTCTGTTTAAAGAGGTATCCTAGCGGTTTAAACATATGGCATTTCTATGCCTGAAAAGATGGGACTCCCTTGTCATTTCTGAACCCGGACACTCCCCGGTTTAGAGACACGGTTCAGCTCAGCCGACCTCACCTGGGAGCTTTCAACAGGGGCCACACCTGAGCCTCCACCTTCAAGAGCAGGTGTGACCTGTTTGTGTAGTGGTCATGTAGGATTGCTATGAGGAATTATGAAAGATGAAGCGAGCCGCTGTGTCAGCGGTGAAAGCATCGCTTTGACTGGGTTTGGGTCATTGACATGATTTCTGATCCATCCCACAATCATCTCTGCCTCATTTTCTCTATGCCTGAGCGTCACGTGTAATAATAATAATAATAATAATAATAATAATATATTTATACCCCGCCCATCTGGCTGAGCTTCCCCAGCCACTCTGGGCGGCTCCCAATTGAGTGTGAAAAACAATACAGCATTAAATATTAAAAACTGCCTTCAGGTGTCTTTTGAAGATAGGATAGCTGCTTATTTCCTTGACATCTGCTGGGAGGGTGTTCCACAGGGCGGGCGCCACCACCAAGAAGGCCCTATGCCTGGTTCCCTGCAACCTCACTTCTCGCAGGGAGAGAACCGCCAGAAGGCCCTCGGAGCTGGACCTCAGTGTCCGGGCTGGACGATGGGGGTGGAGACGCTCCTTCAGGTCTACTGGGCCTTTGAGGCCGTTTAGGGCTTTCAAGGTCAGCACCAATGCTTTGAATTGTGCTCGGAAACGTACTGGGAGGCAATGCAGATCTCTCAGGACCGGTGTTATGTGGACCCGGCGGCCATTCCCAGTCCCCAGTCTAGCTGCCGCATTCTGGATTAGTTGTAGTTTCCGGGTCACCTTCAAAGGGAGCCCCATGTAGAGCACATTGCAGTAGTCCAAGCGAGAGATAACTAGAGCATTCGCCACTCTGGTGAGACAGTCTGCATGCAGGGAGGGTCTCATCCTGCGTACCAGATGGAGCTGGCAGACAGCCGCCCTGGACACAGAATTAACCTGTGCCTGTGTAAAGCATTCTAACACAGACTATACGCTGATCTCCGCCAGCAATTTCTAGATCAACTCCGTATCCCCAAACAGAAACCAGAGACGGAAGTCATACATTTCCTATTACTGGGGAATGATCAGGAGCTCACAGAGTTAGTGGCTAAATATCTCTATTTGGTTTTTTGTCGTCGAAATACAGCGCAGACGTCTGACCTCCCTGGAGACAAAGATGTGGCGATAGATTGCTCTGCCTCCTTTTTCCTTTTAGCAAATGTTTTGCGCCCCTGGGGAAGTGGCAATTCGTTTTGGATGTGATGCCAATAAAAGGTTTGAAAGCAAAAGTAATCTCGGGGTCGTGGGTTCGAGGAAAAGATTGGGTTGGACTAGATGACCCTTCCATCTCTGCCTGGGACCACGGAGACCTGAGCGTAGCCACCGATAGCCCTCTTCTCCACCTCCACGAATTTGTCCCATCCTCTTTCAAAGCCGTCCCTGCCTCCTGTGGTGGGTAGTTCCACAGGTTAACGGCGCACGAAGCGGAAGAAGGGCGTGAGCCGTCCCTCTCAAGCTGCTCAAGATCCTTTCGGCCGGGGAAGCCGGAGGGTGAACGCAGGGAGAAGCACGCGGCCCAACGGCCAGGATACGGGCCCTTACCTGCGCCAGGTACTCGAGGCCAGGAGGGATGCTGCTGGCCACGGGCAGGTAGGGAGTGATGCCCGCGTGGGGGTCCGGAGCTTGGTGGTGGTGGGGCGTAGCGGTGTGATCCCGAAAGGCACGAGGAGGTGGCTGGGGGGGAATTATTTGCCCCGCTGGAGGGCTGCCGGCTGGATAGACGTTGAACCCTGGGGTCGGCGCCGTGGGGACAGGGTGAGGTTGGTGTATGGGGTATGGGGGAGATGCAGTGGGATATCCGGGCTGTGGAACGTGGTACCCTATGGGATGGGGAGAGAGAGAGAGAGGGAGAGAGAAAGAAAGAGAGAGAGAGATTGTTTAAGACTCGTCTACACCCGCAAATCCTTTAAAAAAATAAACATTACTGTGCCTTTAAGAAACAAATGTTACATTGTTGTTGTTTTATAATTCTTATTAAATTTTCTGTTTTACAAATTAGGATATTTGTTTAAACTGGGCTTCCTCAACCTCAGCACTCCAACTGTTTTGGGACTACAACTCCCATGATCCCTAGCTAGCAGGACCAGTGGTCAGGGACGATGGGAATTGTAGTCTCAAAAAACATCTGGAGGGCTGAGGTTGAGGAAGCCTGGTTTAAATGAATATCCTAATTTGTAAAACAGAAAATTTAGTAAGAATTACAAAACAACTGTAGCCTTTCAGCTAGGAATCCCAGAACCATGGCCCAGGAAGCGATCGCCCACGTCCAACAGGTAGAGCGTGATCTACCGGTAGATCACTGGACGTCTGTGGTGGATCACTGGTAGATCACTGGCTCCCTGCAAAGAAGCTCTACAACTTTGCCCCCCTAAAAAAAGCTCAACAGTTTTGCCCTGCACCCCAAAGAAACGTGATAAAAAAAGTTCAACAACTTTGACTTGAACCCCTAAAAAACAGGGCTTTCCTTCCTGGACTTCAAAAAGGGGGATAGATATAGATTGCTGCCAGTTTTTAACTCTGTGAGTAGATCACAGTCTCTTCGGAGTTGGCCACCTCTAGCGCAGTGAGGAGGAACTAAAGAACCTTTTAATGAGGGTGAAAGAGGAGAGCGCAAAATATGGTCTGAAGCTCAACATCAAAAAAACGAAGATCATGGCCACTGGGCCCATCACCTCCTGGCAAATAGAAGGGGAAGAAATGGAGGCAGTGGGAGATTTTACTTTCTTGGGCTCCATGATCGCTGCAGATGGTGACAGCAGCCACAAAATTAAAAGACGCCTGCTTCTTGGGAGAAAAGCGATGACTACCCAAGACAGCATCTTAAAAAGCAGAGACATCACCTTGCCAACAAAGGTCCGTATAGTTAAAGTTATGGTTTTCCCAGTAGTGATGTATGGAAGTGAGAGCTGGACCATCAAGAAGGCTGATGGCCGAAGAATTGATGCTTTTGAATTCTGGTGCTGGAGGAGACTCTTGAGAGTCCCATGGACTGCAAGAAGATCCAACCTCTCCATTCTGAAGGAAATCAGCCCTGAGTGCTCACTGGAAGGACAGATCCTGAAGCTGAGGCTCCAATACTTTGGCCACCTCCGGAGAAGAGAAGACTCCCTGGAAAAGACCCTGATGTTGGGAAAGATGGAGGGCACAAGGAGAAGGGGACGACAGAGGACGAGATGGTTGGACAGTGTTCTCAAAGCTACCAGCATGAGTTTGACCAAACTGTGGGAGGCAGTGGAAGACAGGAGTGCCTGGCGTGCTCTGGTCCAGGGGGCCACGAAGAGGCGGACACAACTAAATGACTAAACAACAAGAGCGCAACCCACTGCGAGACGGAAATTGCAGCTTAAAGGATCCCCTGCTTTAAAACCTCCATCAAAGAAGGAGAGCTGTGACCCCAAAACCTCTTCTCTTCTTCTCTTTCCATGGTTCATTTTGCATATCACAAATCCCTGCATATTTTACAAAAAACTAAACCATTCCGTCTTCCAGTATTAATTCCACCAAAACTTATTTACACTGCTGGATTTATCTTGACGCTGCCAGGGTTTTCAAATCTACACAATCTCCCCCCATATATTCAATAAACATTATTATTAAAGGTTATTTATGTACGCTACTGCAGCCCGTGTTTTGTTAGCCCCAAAATGGAAAACGAGCGAGGTCCCTGCCAAAGAAGAACGGCAACTTAAACTGATGGAATATGCGCAGCTTGCGGACTTAACGTATAGAATAAGAGAACAAGAAGAACATACATTTAAAGAAGATTGGAAAACGTTTATTGAATATATGGGAAATATATTAATGCGGGCAGCATTAAGATAAATCCAACAGTGCAAATAAGTTTTGATGGATGCAATAATGGAATACTGAATGGTATAGTTTTTGTCAAATATGCAGGGATTTGTGATAGGTAAAATGAACCATGGAAAGAGAAGGGAAGTCACTGATACCTTTAAATTGTAAAACAGAAAATGTAATAAAAGTTATATAAAAAGAAAGAAATACAGAATGAGAAAAATGGAGAGGTGTAAAAAATCACAAAAACCACAGCACCTCAGTGTCCCCCTTAAACCAACCAACCAAAAAATAAATATTCCTGCCGAAAGATGCATATTATAAAAAGCAAACCATAGTTGTGTCTATAAGAAGAATATTCTAAGCTCCACAGTTGGGTAATACCTTTATTAGGGTTAACCTGAGAAGCCACAAAAAGGGGGGCAAGCTTTAGAATTTCCCAGATAATTTATGGAGAACTTGAAAGCACACTTCTGTGACTTTTTCGTTTTCCCTTATTTTTTTTTAAAAAAAGGTCTTTAAACGGCTTGCAACTTCCTAGCTGAAACTGCGGGTTCCAGGTCTGACGGGAGCTGGGCTGGGGAGGGGGCAAAAGGAAATGTTTTGCGGGAGCTCCTGAAAGAGCGATCGGAGGAGTTGACGCGTGTTAGGAGGAGGAAATACACAGAAATGGCAGGGAGGAGAAAGCTGAAAACAAAGAAAAAGGAAATTGCAAATGGAAAGCAGAGAGGAGTCATGGCCAGGAAGGAAGTGAGAGCAGGTCATAAGCTTAAAATATTTTTCTTTAATAAAAAGGAGTGTTCAGGATGCTATTGGTGTTCTTTGGGCAGCTATTTTAGGGTGGAGGGCAAAGTCCAGTGGGGGCACCTGCGTAGTCCCGCCCAGGGCTGGATTTAGGTTTGATGAGGCCCTAAGCCAGGGGTCAGCAAACTTTTTTTTGCAGGGGGCCGGTCCACTGTCCCTCAGACCTTGTGGGGGGCCGGACTATATTTTGGAGGAGGGGGGAGAGAATGAATTCATTTGCCCCACAGATAACCCAGAGATGCATTTTAAAGAAAAGGACACATTCTACTCATGTAAAAACACACTGATTCCTGGACTGTCCGCGGGCTGGATTTAGAAGGTGATTGGGCCGGATCCGGCCCCCGGGCCTTAGTTTGCCCACCCATGCCCTAAGCTACTGAAGGTAATGGGGCCTTTCTATGTCCAGCTGTCCTTTGTCAACAACAAATTGTCCCTGTTTTTTGTGTTGAATATATGCTATATGGTCATTGATGGACCTCATAGGTATCTCAAGCCATTAGCCCATGTTGCCTTGCAACCAGTCCATGCAGGATGTAGACACCCTATATATAGAAAGGAGCAAACCAGGGATATTTTAGGGAGCAGGCGAGCAGGCGGGGCCCATGACTTACACATCCTAGGAGCCTACACAACACAAAACACTGTTGCTGTAGGTAGGTTTATATTTCATTTTTTTTTATCTTACATTTTGGAAATATACATCCAGAGTTTTTTTCGCTTTAAATTTTTTTGGGCCCCCTAAGAGATTGGGGCCCCAAACTATAGCTTGTTTAAAGATAAAGGGACCCCTGACCATTAGGTCCAGTCGTGTCCGACTCTGGAGTTGCGGCGCTCATCTCACTTTACTGGCCGAGGGAGCCGGCGTACAGCTTCCGGATCATGTGGCCAGCATGACTAAGCTGCTTCTGGAGAACCAGAGCAGCGCACGAAAACGCCGTTTACCTTCCTGCCAGAGCGGTACCTATTTATCTACTTGCACTTTGACGTGCTTTCGAACTGCTAGGTTGGCAGGAGCAGGGGTTGAGCAACGGGAGCTCACTCCGTTGCGGGGATTCGAACCGCCAACCTTCTGATCGGCAAGTCCTAGGCTCTGTGGCTTAACCCACAGCGCTACCTGCGTCCCTACCCTATATATAGAAAGGAACAAACCAGTGATATTTTAGGGAGCAGGAGAGCAGGCGGGGCCCATTACTTACATCTAGGAGCCAACACAACACAAAACACTGTTGCTGTAGGTAGGCTTATACTGTATTTTTCGCTCTATAAGACGCACCAGACCACAAGACGCACCTAGTTTTTGGAGGAGGAAAACAAGAAAAAATATATTCTGAATCTCAGAAGCCAGAACAGCAAGAGGGATCGCTGCGCAGCGAAAGCAGCGATCCCTCTTGCTATTCTGGCTTCTGGGATAGCTGCGCAGCCTGCATTCGCTCCATAAGACGCACACACATTTCCCCTTACTTTTTAGGAGGGGAAAAGTGAGTCTTATAGAGCAAAAAATACGGTATTTCATTTGCTTTTTATCTTACATTTTGGAAATGTACATCCAGGGTGTGTGTCCCCCTTTAAATTTTTTGAGGGGCCCCAAAGAGACCTCAGCGCCTAGGGCTTGCCGATCGAAAGGTCGGCGGTTCGAATCCCCGTGGCGGGGTGTGCTTCCGTCGTTCTGTCCCAGCGCCTGCCAACCTAGCAGTTCGAAAGCACTCCCGGGTGCAAGTAGATAAATAGGGACCACTTACTAGCGGGAAGGTAAACGGCGTTTCCGTGTGCTGCGCTGGCTCGCCAGAGCAGCGATGTCATGCTGGCCACATGACCCGGAAGTGTCTGCGGACAGCGCTGGCCCCCGGCCTCTTGAGTGAGATGGGCGCACAACCCTAGAGTCTGTCAAGACTGGCCCGTACGGGCAGGGGTACCTTTACCTTTACCTTTAAAGAGAGGGGGGCCCTAAACTATAGCTTGTTTAGCTTATTCCGAAATCCGGCACTGAGAAGGCGACTTGCAGGCGTCTCAGGTAAGTTAAAATAGCTGGGGGGGGGAGCAGACGGTGACGCAGCCCCCCTGCGCCCAAATCCTGCCCAGCCGCATTCCAGCTATGCCCCGTCACAATAGGCCTTGCCCTGCCCCAGGGAAAGGGGTGGCGAACATCGCAGCTGACTTGGGTGGGGCTGCAGCGGCGCCTCTTTTCATGCCCCGTTGCCCATGTCTGCAGCGAAGACGGGAATCGCAAGTTCCGCCTCTCCGGTTCCTCTCCAAATCCCTCTTTTCTTTTCTCTTCCTCGCCCACTGAACGGGATAAGTGCTTCCTGGATCAGGCCAGCCAGCCCAGCATTCAGTTCCCCCAGGGGGCTAAGCAGGTGCCTCTTCCGGGAATCCCGCAATCAGGATTCGAACACAAGACCCGCTCTCCCCTCCTGAGGTTTCTAGCAACCGGCTTTCGGAAGCATTTACAGCCTCCAGCTGCAAAGGCAGAATACAGCCATCCTGGCTAGTAGCCATCGATAGCCCTTTCCTCCTCCATGAATTGATTTAATTCTCTTTTATAGCCATCCTAGTTGGTGGACATCGCTGTCTCTTGTGGCAGGGAGTTCCACAGTTCCCTCTGCCTGAACTTTATTTTCTCTGCCCCAAATCTTCCAACATTTAGCGGATTGATTGTGAGACTGCGGAAATGGATAAAAGCCCCCCATCCAAACAATGACTATCATCAGTGCAGGGAAGGAATTTTTATTGTTATTATTATTTTATCATCTACAATATGGTCTTATTTATTTTATAGTACAGTCCATTGATTTTTGCTTTCATTTTATGGATCAATGGTCTCATTAGACAGCAAAATTCATGTTAAATTGCTGTTTTAGGGGTTGTTTTTAAAAGTGTGGCATGGATTAATTTCTTTCACGTGACTTTCTATGGGTAATTGAGTGCCTTGGTTTTGGAACGGACTTCCGGAACGGGTTAAGTTTGAGCAGCAAGGTACCACTGTACAAAGACTGTCGCAGGATTGGCATAAAGACCGAAAGGGCAAAGACGATTAAGACGGGCGAGGAGAGAGAACACGCCATTTGCATATTGTAGGTATCAGCATTTGGCAACCTTGACGCTCCTTGAAGCAGCCAAGACTGCAGACTCAGAGGTGATTTTTGGTTTGAGTTGGACGGGAGCCTCCAAAAGACATCTATCCCAACCCTCATCTGGTCCCGTTTTTGAACGCAAGACATCACCGCCTTACATATTACTTCTTTATTGCGTTTATAATCTCGCCTTTTCCTCCAAGAAGCTCTGGGTGGTGGAAATGATCCTCATTTAAACCCCACAACAAACCTGCGAGGCGGGCTAGGCAGCTGACCGGATCCTGAGGTCAGCCAGAGATCCCTGAGGAGGATTCGAACCCTGCTCTCCCAGGGCACACTAAACCCCTACACCACCCTGGCTCTGGCAGACTGTAGAAGCATAAGAAGGGCCTACTGGATGAGGCCAATGGCCCGTCTAGTCCAGCAACCTGTTCCCACAGTGGCCAACACTTATGGGAAACCCTCCAGCAGGATTCGAACACAAGACCGACACTGGGTTTACCAGCGACTGGCATTCAGAAGCACTGCTGCACTCTGAGCCAGACCACGGATCCAGCCCTGGGGCGTGTGGGATCTGGATCTGGCGCAGAGGTGAGCTGAGGTCACGTGACCCATTTCAACCGTCAGCTGATTGTCAGGGTTTGAGCTGTAGCCACATGAGACCCTGGGGCCCAGCTGGCTCCTCCCCCCTTGAGGCCATATGTCAATCAGACTTGACGCCCCCCAGAAGTTGTGGGGCTACAGCTCTCCGCACTGCCAGGGGAGGGCACCAGGTTGGGGAAGAGGGGTCTCCCCTAACCAGCAACGGATGTCTCAAGCATTTTGGACAAAGGGGTCTTTCCCAAACCCTGCCTGGGAAAAAGCAGGCGTTCCGTCACCGAGCTCAGCAAATTAAATATTGCAAGTTAATTGTCGGAGGGGAAATGTGTGTCTGTCTGTGGAAATAATGGCAGCCTGCCCCCCAAACAAACTGTTAAGCCAAAGGATCAGACTGACTTAAAAAAAAGAAATGGTCTTTTATCCATTTTGGGAGAAGAAGGGGGGTATGGATGAGGCTGGATCGCTCAGTCGGTTGAGCGTGAGACTCTGAATCTCAGGGTTGTGGGTTTGAATCCTACACTCGGCAAAAGATTCCTGCATTGCAGGTGGTTGGACTAGATAATGTGTGAGTGTGTGTGTGCATACCGTATTTTTTGCTCTATAAGACTCACTTTTTCCCTCCTAAAAAGTAAGGGGAAATGTGTGTGCGTCTTATGGAGCGAATGCAGGCTGCACAGCTATCCCAGAAGCCAGAACAGCAAGAGGGATTGCTCCTTTCACTGCGCAGCGATCCCTCTTGCTGTTCTGGCTTCTGGGATTCAGAATATTTTTTTTTCTTGTTTTCCTCCTCCAAAAACTAGGTGCGTCTTGTGGTCTGGTGCGTCTTATAGAGCGAGAAATATGGTGTGTATGTATGTGTGTGTGTGTGTGTGTGTGTGTATATATATATATATACACACACAGTGGTACCTTGGAAGTCAAACCGACTCCACTCCGGAAGTCCGTTCAACTTCCAAAACGTTCGGAAACCAAAGCGCAGCTTCTGATTGGCTGCAGGAAGGTCCTGCAGCTTCTGATTGGCTGCAGGAAGCTCCTGCAGCCAATCGGAAGCCGCGGAACCTGTGTAGACATTTGGGTTCCAAAAGAACGTTTCCAAAGTGGAACAATCACTTCCGGGTTTGCGGCACTCGGTAGTCAAAGCGTTCAAGTGCCAAGGCGTTTGGCTTCCAAGGCACAACTGTGTGTGCTTAATTTATACCCCACGCCTGGTATCCTTGCCAACTCTACAGGTGAAACTCGGAAAATTAGAACATCGTGGGAAAGTTCATTTATTTCTGTAATTCAACTTAAAAGGTGAAACTAATATATGAGATAGACCCATGTCATGCAAAGTGAGATACGTCACGCCTTTATTTGTTACAGTTGTGGTGATCATGGCGTACAGCTGATGAAAACCCCAAATTAACAACCTCAGAAAGTTAGAATATTGTGAAAAGGTGCAGTAGCTATTCTATCCATAACACCTGCAATGGGTTCATCACAATTATAACAAATAAAGGCATGACATAATTCGCTTTGCATGTCATGAGTCTATCTCATATATCAGTTTCACCTTTTAAGTTAAATTACTGAAATAAATGACTTTTCCGTGATATTCTAATTTTTCTTGCAATATTAAAGATATGTAATCACTTGAAAGAATCCATTAGGCTTAGGACTAAATTGGGGTTAAATAAATAAATAAGAAAATGTACGATGAGAAAAGTTAGGAAACATGATTTTGACTGTGATATGGTTTTATGAAATAATGATATTGGAAACTGCTATATGTAATTACTAAAAAATTCAGATGGAAGAGACTTGAGGAAGTCAAGTAATATGTCTATGAAGATGGATTTTAATTAATTAACTTTCAGTTTATGTGGTGATTTGATGTATTTTATGTTTTATATTCTTTTTTCTTTTCTTTTTTTCTTTTTTATTATTACTAACTCTTTCTTTTGTTATGTCTTTGTATGAAAAATAATAAATATTATTGTGATATTCTATTTTTTTGAGTTTCACCTGCACAATTCTATGAGAAAGAGAGAGAGATCAAAGTAGTATTAAATAGGCACACAATAATTATCAGCATTGTGTTCCGATTTTTGTGCGTGCGGACGATGTAATCGAGGCGAGATTCCGGAAGCAAGTTATCGACCGCCCAGCTACGAGGCCAGTTTACGCAAAGAAATCAGACGCATCCAAGCTTTCTGTCGTTTGGCTGTGCAACTGCTTGCGTCGTGCAAAATTAAGTGCCTTATCGGAGGCCAATATATAGATTTCCCGAGGGCTGAAATCCACTTTGCATCCTCTGAAAAACGCGAGCTTGCAGAACAGCTGGGTTGGATTTAACTTTAAATACACTGCCCTCGCGTACGGATTCCTCCCCGCCCAAAATATACGTGCAAGTTGCTACCGCCCAAAATATATGTGCAAGTTGCTACTTATGTGGGGAACTATGCCTTCATTTGCTCCGTAATTTAGCAACGTAATTAAAAAGCAAGGTAAGTCAGGGATGAGAGGCCAGACCTGGAGCCGCCATTTTTGTATCCGTCTGGCGAGGGGTGGGGGGTGAACGACGACCCCGCTTCTGGTGTCTTTCTGATCAGCAGCGGGGACTGCCTTCCATTTGGACGTCCCTGTAAGGAAATACGAAGAGAATAGGATCATTTCAGGACAGAAGCATATCGGTCGCTAGCACAGCAAACAGATTTGTAAAATATTAGGAGGTCTCGGCTGTTTGGGTGGAGGCAGGGAGACGATGAGAAAAAATGGATGGTTTTTTCAAGAGATGGAGGTGCAAATCAGCCAAGACGTCTCAAATAAGCCTGAACAGAGCACATGGCGTTTGGATTTTAAAAAATCACCTTTTTTTGCAGTACAGTGGTACCTCGGGTTAAGTACTTAATTCATTCCAGAGGTCCGTACTTAACCTGAAACTGTTCTTAACCTGAAGCACCACTTTAGCTAATGGGGCCTCCTGCTGCTGCCGTGCCTCCAGAGCACAATTTCTGTTCTCATCCTGAAGCAAAGTTCTTAACCTGAGGTACTATTTCTGGGTCAGCGGAGTCTGTAACCTGAAGTGTCCGTAACCTGAAGCGTATGTAACCCGAGGTACCACTGTACAAGGTTATGGAATACAGTTGTGCCTCGGGTTACATACGCTTCAGGTTACAGACTCCGCTAACCCAGAAATATTACCTTGGTTTAAGAACTTTGCTTCAGGATGAGAACAGAAATCGCGCGGCAGCAACGGGATTAGCTAAAGTGGTACCTCAGGTTAAGAACAGTTTCAGGTTAAGAACGGACCTCCAGAATGAATTAAATACTTAACCCGAGGTACCACTGTATGCAGAAATAGCAAAGCTAACAGCAAAAATTCGATATCATGGTGACGAAACATATCAAAAAGAATGGGGAAAATTTATGTTATATATAGAGAAGACGATGTGAAATAGGGAAACCAGTAGAACTAAAATAAACCACGGGAAAACACAAGAAATTTATTGGATAATAATATCAAAATGAATTAAAAATGTACATTAGGACTATTGTGGAACAATATTTGTAAATGAATATAGACAGATAACAAGGATTGTATATATGGAAAGATTTATTTGTTTCCAGACATTTTATGGGGGGAAAATTGAAGAATAACAATTATATATAAAATGGACAAAGACAATGCAAAAAGTTAAAGATGGCATAAAAAAGCCGGAAGGAGGAAGAAGGGAAGTCAGCTCAGGAGAGCGAGAACAAATGTGAAATATAAAGTATGTGTATGTATAGGTAAAGGTAAAGGGACCCCTGACCATCAGGTCCAGTCGTGGCCAAATCTGGGGTTGCGGCGCTCATCTCGCTTTACTGACTGAGGGAGCCAGCGTACAGCTTCCGGGTCATGTGGCCAGCTTGACTAAGCCACTTCAGGCGAACCAGAGCAGCGCATGGAAATGCCGTTTACCTTCCCGCTGGAGCCATACCTATTTATCTACTTGCACTTGGACGTGCTTTCGAACTGCTAGGAGCAGGGACCGAGCAACGGGAGCTCACCCCGTCATTGCAGGGATTCGAACCGCCGACCTTCTGATTGGCAAGTCCTGGGATCTGTGGTTTAACCCACAGCGCCACCCGCATCCCATCTGTATGTATAGTATGTAACTAAAAATTCAATACATATCATGTATGTATTATGAGGAACGGCTATATTATGAGGAACGGCTAAGGGAGCTGGGCATGTTTAGCCTGGAGAAGAGGAGGTTACGGGGTGATATGATAGCCATGTACAAATATATAAAAGGATGTCACATAGAGGAGGGAGAAAGGCTGTTTTCTGCTGCTCCAGAGAAGCGGACACGGAGCAATGGATCCAAACTACAAGAAAGAAGATTCCACCTAAACATTAGGAAGAACTTCCTGACAGTAAGAGCTGTTCGACAGTGGAATTTGCTGCCAAGGAGTGTGGTGGAGTCTCCTTCTTTGGAGGTCTTTAAGCAGAGGCTTGACAACCATATGTCAGGAGTGCTCTGATGGTGTTTCCTGCTTGGCAGGGGGTTGGACTCGATGGCCCTTGTGGTCTCTTCCAACTCTATGATTCTATGATTCTATGATTCTATGATCTAAAAAAATAAAATTTTAAAAATCACCTTTTTTAACGTCCTGATTCATAGAAGGGACTCCCTTTGCAACGCAGGAATAGCAGCTAAAGATTCCCTGATGGATAGCCATCCAAACTCTCTTTTCAAACACCTAATGGAGTCTGCCAACTTCTGAGGCAGTCCGTTCCCCTGTCAAACTGTTCTCACCCTCAGAAAGTTATTCCAAATCTGTGTTCTGGGTAACTTGAATCCACTGAAGGTCCTAGCCTCCAGAGCAGGAGAAAACAAGCTTGCTCCACCTTTCCCTGTTAGATGTTTAAAGCTGGCTATCACATCATCTCCCAGTCTCCTCTCCTCCAGGCTAAACATAGCCAATTCCTTCCACCGTTCCTCATAAGCAGGCATCCCCAACCTGCGGCCCTCCAGATGTTCTGGCCTACAACTCCCACGATCCCTAACTAACAGAACCAGTGGTCAGGGATGCTGGGAATTGTAGTCCAAAACATCTGGAGGGCTGAAGGTTGGGGATGCCTGATCACAAGGCTTGGTCTCCAGAACCTCAATTGACACAGGTCTTAAAAGGTAAAGGGAACCCTGACCATTAGGTCCAGTTGCAGATGACTCTGGGGTTGCGGCGCTCATCTCGCTTTACTGGCCGAGGGAGCAGACGTTTGTCCGCAGACAGTTTTTCTGGGTCATGTGGCCAGCATGACAGAGCCGCTTCTGGCGAACCAGAGCAGTGCATGGAAATGCTGCTTACCTTCCCGCCGGAGTGGTACCTATTTATCTACTTGCACTTTGACGTGCTTTTGAACTGCTAGGTTGGCAGGAGCAGGGACCGAGCAACGGGAGCTGACCCCGTTGCAGGGATTCGAACTGCCTACCTTCAAATTGGCGGGCCCAATAGGCTCAGTGGTTTAACCCACAGTGCCACCCGCGCCCCTATGTAATCTGAGGTACCATTGTATAAAAGCATATATTTTAAAAAATATAATAATGGTGCTGAAATAAATGCATCGGGAGAGATTTTTTAACAGTGGTTAGCATTTGTCAAAGAGCAATTAGTGGGAATTTCAAGCCCAGATCCTTCCAGATATTCCTAGACTACAGCTCCCATCATCCCTAACCATTGGTCCTGCTGGCTCATGGGGAGTCTACGTCCCAATATCTGAAGGGCCAAGGTTTCCCCATCCCCACTTTTTAAACAACAAATTTTATGACCCAATTTATTCCTGCATTGCTGGGGGTTGCACTAGATGATCATGGGGACCACCCGCGTCCCCATGCAGAATGTAGGCACCCTATATATAGAAAGGAGCAAACCAGTGATATTTTAGGGAGCAGGCGAGCAGGCGGGGCCCAGGACTGACATCTTAGGAGCCTACACAACACAAAACACTGTTGTACTTGCACTGTGACGTGCTTTCGAACTGCTAGGTTGGCAGGAGCAGGGACCGAGCAACGGGAGCTCACCCCATCGCGGGGATTCGAACCCCCGACCTTCTGATCGGCAAGCCCTAGGCTCTGTGGTTTAACCCACAGCGCCTCCCGCGTCCCGACACAGGTCTTAAAAGGGGGTTAAAGGAGAAAGAACTGCCCTGTGATGAGGGATACTGGATTTGTGCCGCCCGCTTTTCACAATCTGCACCCATACGGACGTCTCACTTATCCTTGTATACCTGAGCTTTGTCATTTGGAGAGAGGTGACTCTCTGTTGCTGCAGCAAAGCAAGGAGGTCTGTTCTCCTAGATTCAAACAAACACACACACAGCCTCCTCTCCGACTGGCACAAAAGCGGGTAAACTTAGTTGGCACAGAGGCAGCCCTCTCTTGCCCTTTTGCATTCATTCTTCATCACAATGCAGACCTGGGGCCTGTCTCCAGGAAGCCAAACAAAAGGTATTAGCAAAAAACAACAAAAATGGAGACACACGATTGCCACCTCTCTCGTTGGCAAGGCTCCTGATCTTTTGAACAGCTAGCAGGCAAGCCGGAATCCAACAGGTGTGCAGAATTCCTGGCTGCGGCACGTGAGAAACGCTTCGCCGGTGGAACTGCGCGCAGCTTTTAAACACACGAGAAAACACAGAAGCTCTGTGTTTCACAAACGCACAACCCGTGCCGAAGCGCGCGCACAGAGAATCATATTCACACAATCGCAACGGTGTCAAAAACACCAAAGAAGAGGAATTAAGTGTACAGCGTTCTCACTTCCTCTCTGATCGAGTCAGGATTTCTTTAGCAGCGATTCCTGCCACTACATGGGGTTGGGATAGATGTCCTTTGGGGGGTCCCTTTCCACTCTGAAATTCTGTGATACACCAGAGTACACAAACCTGCACACACAAACACATCAGTCTCCCAAGCGCACCCAGAAGTGAAAACACATGATAGCCATCAACACACAAACACACACACAAAGTGTCACAGAACACAAATCGTGTCCCCAGAGGGAATTGGGAAACAAACAGTTTAAAAGTCGCCAGAACCTCTGGCCCAAATGCCAGAGGCCACACACAGATTTGTGCAACCGTGCAAAGCGTTGCGTGCAAAGACACACACAAACACACAAGTCTCAAGGAGAACCAAACTCAGAAGCCTCCAGGCATTACTCACTTTATGCCCGTCCCTGAGTCCGGCTTTCCAGAAATGGCGCCCACTCCTCTTGCCTAAGCGAGAGACATATGATCGAAGTGAAACTGGATCTCTCCTTTCCCACCCCGCTCCTCAAGCCCACACAGACTCATCATGGGGAGGGCAGGAGCAGCAGCAGGAGAGGCAATCCCCGACTCCTTGCCAGGCCTCTGAGCCGAACTTTCAGCCTACAAAACCCTCCTGCCCTCTCCGAAGAACCCAGGAGTCCTGACTCACACACTCACACACACCCTTGGTCCTCCTCACCCAATCTGCCTTGATCTTCCTTCTGCACCCAAGCGGCTTGGGGGAGGAAGAAAACAAAGCCTTGCTAAAAAACCACATGACAGCAGCTACCCTCTTAAAAATAGGGGTTTTTTTGGCAAGCTCCTCTCACTGGCAAACCAACAGCTCTGCGTCTTTGCCCTGCTCCAAAACTGGGTGGCACCCAAGGTTTGGGGCTGGTGGGTTTTTTTGTTCCAAAGCAGGGATTGTTGCTGGAGGGGGGGGGTGTTGGACGATTCGGGCCTCCTGTTTCCAGGCGGCGCTTCCAAGCTCCGGAGACCGCGCGTGGGATCCAGTCTGCTCTCCCTGCAAATCCCAGTGACCTTTGGGTGTGCCTGGATGTCTGCGCTGGGTTCTGGGTTGGGAAGGGAGAGGCTGGGATTCCCTGCGGAAAGATGGAGGCGGCTTTCCAGCAAACCCAAGCAGCTGGCAAGAGAGCCTGTTTTCCAATCCCTTAAGATAAAAAAAAAAAAACAGAGCCCCACATTTTGCCAAGAGGGTGTTTTCTCACCCTTAAGAGAAGCCACAAAACCCCCGGCTTTTCGCCCTCTTGCAAAAGCCACCCAGGAATCCTGTATCTTTCAGAGTCTGCAGCCCAGATGCTCTCTAATCAACCCCTTCCTCTCTCTCCCTCCTGGCAAAGCTCAAACACACATAAAATCACTGTAGAGTCGGAAGGGACCCAGGGTCATCTAGTCCAACCCCCTGCAATGCAGGAATCTTTTTGCCCCATGTAGGACTCGAACCCAAGACCGCGAGAGTCTCATGCTCTACATGCCGTATCCCACCCCCTGCTCCATTCCCCCTGGTATATTTGCGTCCACTGACAGCACCGAGGCAGCACCAGGAGAATTTATTTATTAATTGCATTAATTCGCACCCTTTTCCTCCAAGGAAATCGAGGTGGGGTACATGGTTTTCCCCCTCCTTCACCCCCACAACAATCCTGCGAGGTAGGGTAGGCTGGGGGACAGCGACTGGCCCAAGTTCAGCAAGCGAGCTTCAGGGCTGAGGCAGGATTTGAACCCGGCTCTCTCCCAGGTCCCAGTCCGACATACAAACCATAATACACTCCCCCTAGCCAGTGTTTACAGTGTTCAGATGGTAATTTCCTAGAGAGCAGAGACCTCTCTCTAAATCACTTTACACGCCACATAGATAAAACGAAAGCCCTTCTTCGTGCGGCACATAAACTTTGGAACTCCCTGCCACAGGAGGCTGGGATGGCCACCAAATTGGATGGTTTTAAAAGAGGATTAGACAAGCTCATGCAGGAGAAAGCTATTGTTGGCTACTAGCCAGGATGGTTGTGTTCTGCCTCCACAGTCGGAGGCAGCGCTGTTCCTGAATCCCAGTTGCTGCAAGCCACAGGAAGGGAGAGTGGCTCCTGTGTTCGAATCCTGCTTGCTGCTTTCCCATTGGGGGCATCTTCTGGGCCACCGCGAAGGCATGATGCTGGACTAGGTGGGCCACTGGCCTCATCCAGCAGGCTCTCCTTGTAGAATCACAGAATTGTAGCGTCGGAAGGGCCCCCCAAAGGTCATCTAGTCCAGCCCCTTGCAATGCTGGAATCTTTTGCCCAACACGGGACTCGAACCCACTACCCTGAGATTAGGAGTCTCATGCTCTACCGACTGAGCTATCACGATGCTTAAACTCCTTTCCAACTCTAAAATTCTATCACTAGAGCAGCGGTTCTCAACCTGCGGGTCCCCAGATGTTGTTGGACTACAACTCCCATCATCCCTGAGCTCTGGCCTTGCTAGCTAGGGCTGATGGGAGTTGTAGTTCAACATCTGGGGACCCACAGGTTGAGAAAGGCTGGACTAGAGCCTAAGGAGAGGCTCATTATTTTTTATTATTATTATTATTATTATTATTATTATTATTATTATTATTATTATTATTATTTGTATACTGCCCTATACCTGCAGATCTCAGATCGGTCCCCAACAAAACTTACAATACAGAAGACACAAAATACACAACAGAAGACAACCCAACCACCCCCACTTCCACGAGACATTTTTAAAGAGCATTAATCCAGCATGTTGCCTTCGCAGCAGCCAACCAGGTCCTTGTGCAAAACCGGCAAGCGGAACCCGGGTGCAAGAGCCACTCTCCCTCCCTTCTGGGTGTCGCAGAACTCGCACTCAAGGCCGGGGAGTCGAAAGCTGCGCAGGAGCAGCGAGAACAAAGGCGAGGGCTGGACAGGAAACCTGGATGAAGGGAGCATAGGGAGGAGGGGGGGGGGAAGCGTTTTGTGGAGCCTTCCGAGAACCTTGGAAACATAATTCTGCAGTGTTTTGCAAAACAACCACCACCTGGCTGCGAGGCGTCTCTCAGGCTGGGTGCAGAGAGAGAGAGAGAGAAGGGAGATTGTTGGGTTAAGGGAAGGGAGGAAAATCAGGAAGGATGTTGGGAGAGGAGAGGAGGGGAGTCTCCCTCCCTCCGGGGGGGGGCGTGAAACAAAAACAGCAAAATTAAAACCATCTGGTTTCTCTCCTCCCAGAACTGCCAACCTGGCGCCCCCCAGCTGCTGAGGACGCGGGGGTGGGCGCCAGGATGGCCAAGGCTGCGCCGAAGAGCCAGCAAAGGAGATGGGGAGGAGGGGCGCGCGCCCCAAACCCCAACCAGACACCCCCCCCCGCTATCATCTTTCCAAAGAAACTTCTTTGCCGCCGCCTTCTTCCTCCTCGCATCTTTTTTCCCCCCGGGCAGGATTGAGGGTGGGTGGGTTTCCAAACAGGAAGCCCCTCCCTCCCTCTTTGCAAAACAACCTCCCCGCTGTCCACATTCACACGAGGAGGAGAAAGAAAAGACCCCCCCCCGGCAATTGCAAACTGAGAGCCCCCCAAATCTGTCCCCGGGAACAGAAAGAAACCAAGCGCGCAAAGGATGGGGATACCCAGCTTTTATTTTCCTGGCCATCTCAGGTGGTTTCCCAAACAGCCCCCCGGCGGGGGGGGGATAGAGGAGGGAGGGGGAGCCAAGGCCAAGGACCCCCCCACCCCATGGCTTCTCTTCTCTCTCCCCCCCCGCCCCACATTATTTAGGCCTCCCCCTCGCCTCCCCGGCTCCTTCTCCCCACTCCGCGTTACCTTCACGCCCTGGAGCCAGCAAAGAAAGTGGCGGAGGGAGGAGGAGGAAAGAAAGAGAAGAGAAAGAGAGGAAAAGGATGGACCGAGGGAAGGAGGGAGGGCAGGGCGAGGCAGGGGCCGCCCCATCGCCCTCCCATCGCCGGCAGCAGCCCTGGAGCGGCGCCGCGCCCGGAGAGAGAAGCGAGAGGAAAAAAGGAGCGATGCGCGCCGGTCGTGTGAACGCGGCGTGTCCGGGCTTGCTCTTTCGCTTCGAGCGATGGGAGGGGAAGGAAAGAGCTTAGGGGCTCTTAGCCCGGGTTAATGGTCTCGACCAACCCGGCGCCCTCCAGCTGGTGGGGTTTTTTGTGGAGTCCTCGCGGGCGAGAGGGAGAGACGCGCGTCTTGCGCGGCTGTTTGTTTGGACGCACCGCCACGCGAGAACGCGGCCCCGCTGCTGGCTGGGAGGAGGGAACTTGCCTTTTGGACACCGACTTCAGGCCTGTTTCCACGACGCCTTGGGGAGAAGCACTTCTCCGCCACCGGATTGGGAGGGTTCACACGTGACACGTGATTGGTTCAAAATTGGGAAAGGAGTACGACAAGGCTGTATTTTGTCTCCCTGCTTATTTAATTTATATGCAGAATACATCATGCGAAAGGCTGGGCTGGATGAATCCCAAGCTGGAATTAAGATTGCTGGAAGAAATATCAACAACCTCAGATATGCAGATGAGACAACCTTGATGGCAGAAAGTGAGGAGGAATTAAAGAACCTTTTAATGAGGGTGAAAGAGGAGAGCGCAAAATATGGTCTGAGGCTCAACATCAAAAAAACGAAGATCATGGCCACTGGTCCCATCACCTCCTGGCAAACAGAAGGGGAAGAAATGGAGGCAGTGAGAGATTTTACTTTCTTGGGCTCCATGATCACTGCAGATGGTGACAGCAGCCACGAAATTAAAAGACGCCTGCTTCTTGGGAGAAAGGCGATGGCAAATCTAGACAACATCTTAAAAAGCAGAGACATCACCTTGCCAACAAAGGTCCGTATAGTTAAAGCTCTGGTTTTCCCAGTAGTGATGTATGAAAGTGAGAGCTGGACCATAAAGAAGGCTGGTCGCCGAAGAATGGATGCTTTTGAATTATGGTGCTGGAGGAGACTCTTGAGAGTCCCATGGACTGCAAGAAGATCAAACCTCTCCATTCTGAAGGAAATCAGCCCTGAGTGCTCACTGGAAGGACAGATCGTGAAGCTGAGGCTCCAAGACTTTGGCCACCGCATGAGAAGAGAAGACTCCCTGGAGAAGACCCTGATGTTGGGAAAGATGGAGGGCACAAGGAGAAGGGGGCGACAGAGGACGAGATGGTTGGATAGTGTTTTCGAGGTTACCAGCATGAGTCTGACCAAACTGCAGCAGGCAGTGGAAGACAGGAGTGCCTGGCGTGCTCTGGTCCATGGGGTCACGAAGAGTTGGACACGACTAAACGACTAAACAACAACAACAACACGTGACAGCTATCTATCCCACGCGCAAGCATCCTCGCTTTGTGTTTATAGCAATAACCGGTGCGCAATGATGGCCTTCCTGGCTGTTGTCACGGTCAAGCTCTACTCCCTGTAGCACCTGACCTAGAATCAAAGAATTGTAGGGTCAGAAGGGTCCACGAGGGTCATCCAGTCCAACCCCCTACGTAGACTCCGCCCCCTTTCCCCTCCAGATTTAATCTCAAGACCAGGTAAGGCTCCAAACCCCACTGATCTCAAGCGCTCAGGCTTCCCCCAGCCTGCCTCAGCTAAAAGAGCCCTCTGCAAGTCTCTTTACTATTCCATGTTTTTAATA